GCATGTTTGCATATGTAAAAGGATGGATTACAGAAGAAGAATTGAGTTTAGAGAATGTGGATCCTTTTAAGTGGTCAGTATATTAGTCTCTTTCCTGTCACTGTATCAAAATACCTCAGGCTGGATAACTTATAAAGAAAGTAAGTTTATTAAGCCTACAGTTTTAGAGGTTGATGGTCCAAATAGCATGGCATTGGCTCTGGTTAAAGGACACTGATGGCTGCACCGTGTCATGACAGGTGGTATTGTGATATCTTAGCTCAGACCTTTGGCACTGTATCATGCCAACTATATTTGGAGATAAAGACTTTTTTCAGTGTTTAGCCAAATTAACAATATACATTTAAAGATCCATATTTGGAATAAAGTGTTTTTGAAAAAAGCAAGAGAGCAGTTCAAAATTACAGATAGTGATTGCTTTGGAAGATGAAGCACAGGACTTTGATCAGGAAGAGCACCCAGGTAGCTATGGTGATGTTGGTAATTTTCCAGTTCTTCAGTTGGAAATGGGCTCACAAATTTTGTTTTTATTCTCATGCTTTATGATATCTATTTGTTTCATATATTCTTTTCTGTATATCAACTATCACATAATTTTTGTAGTCATTCTAGAATTACTGAATTTCTATAAATTATATATCTGCTAGACCTTTATGTGGATATCTTCTCTTAAAGTCCCTATAGTGTTCAACAAGAATGTCCAACAGGAAAATATATATACCTTCATGGGACAAATACTGTAGATGTTCAAATCTGTATTTTTTAAAAATAATTAGTATGAAATTATCTGGTCTTTACCTAAGCTAGGATTAATTAAAATTAATTTACCTTGATGTATAATTCTAGATATATCATTTCTAGGTGCATAATTTTTGTCATTTCTGAAAGTAGATTGTGTGTACTTATAATGCTGAGAGTGAATTTGAGAAATTTGGGAGGAATATTTTGTCTATTGTTCTCTGCTTCACTGTCTGTGGGGAGCACAGATGGCCACGTTACTTCCCTTCTCAATTTTTGTGACTTGGATCTTAGAGGGTTCCCAGATACCCCGTGCTTACGGCTTCGTCAGCAGCGTGCGTGCTGATGGGAGGTGTGGAACCTTTTGGAGGCAGGGCCCAGAGCGTGGAAGTTAGGTCATGGCGCTTGGCCCTGGAAGGGTTACTGAAACTTCTTTCTCTTCACTTCCTGATTAGCATGAGAGGAGCAGCGTCCTCTGTCATGCGTACTTACTGTGCTATTCTGTGTCATAGGCCCAAAGCCCCAGGACTGACAGACCCTGACCCACAGCCTTGTGTCAGAATAAGCCTTTTCTTCTTTTAAGTTGATTACCTTAGGTACTCTGTCACAGTGGTAGAAAATTAATGAACACACAATGCTGTTTTCAATCTAGTTAAGAGAGAAAGGCTCTTCAAGGCTCTTTTCTGTTTCTTGTGTCCCCTAGAATGACTGCAGCTCCCTACTGACAGTGTAGCTCAGAAGGCCTCTGGGAGTGCCCCAGTCCTGAATAAATAGGGAGAATGGGCTGCAGTTTGGTCTAGCTGTCCTTGGGATGAAGACACTAGATCCTTTATGAGGTCTCTTAGCTAAAACTTTTTATCACCTACCATCACACAGACACTTTTCATACTTTGGATTACTTAGTCTTGTGTCAACCCTGCAGTGACTGTTGTCACCACTCCTCTGTGTGTTAGAGACTCAGAGAGAGGTAAAAAAAAAAAAAAAAAAAAACACTCTGTTTTCCCTTAATGAGAATGCTAACTTGGTTCTGTGGATTCTAAGACCATGCTGTTAATAATGCCAGTTCCTTGTCATTTAATCCTTTAATGCTAGTAGTATATGCAAATACATAGAATTTTCCTTTTTAAAAGCCTTATTATAAATCAGAATACACACAATTGTGATTGTAACTCACATGGTAAGGCCAACAAGGCCCGGCTGTGTGATTTGGTATCAAAACCCACCAAAGCAAGGCATTCTCAGGCATGTCAAGATAAAACACCCCATGGAGTATTTCAGGTAGGAGAGGAGACAGCATTGATGGTTACTGCGAATTTTCTGATTACCTCTTATAAAAATGTATTCCACACTTTTTCTTCTCAGTCAAACTGTCATTGATATCTTGTGGTTAAAGTCTTTTGATAAGCTGAATTTAACATTTCTAAAGTATTATAGGGATGTTACAAGCACATTAGAAGCATTTAGATTTTGTTAGCTATAGTTATATTTCTTTAACATACACTTGGAACAAGACCCAGCGTGCCTGTATTTGTTTATGTAAGAAAGCAGGCAGGGTTTGTACAGAATTTTGATCTATGGTATGCCGTGAAAAGTATAAATGTCATTTTCCTCCTGATTTATAATTGGTCCCCATGAGGGAACTCAATTACTTAGTGTGAAATGGGCTTCAAAGGCAGAGTATGAAGTGTATTTATCCCCAGCTTGCAGATTTATCTGTATTCAGCTACAGAAAAAAATAAACAAATAAATACTTTAATCTGACTTTCAGAGCACTCAGAACAAGGTCTTGCTGCATTAAAGTAGCAGGATCAGGCCTCCCCCAGGACATCCCAGTCTGGCAACATCACTGAGCCCCATCTCACCCAGGGCTCCAGAGTTCCCAGACCCCAGTTACGCTGTTTTCAGGCGAGGGTCCTACAGAAGGCAAGTCGCTGCTTAACTCCATGGAGTATTTTATCTTGACATATGCTTGAGAATGCTTTGCTTTGGTGGGTTTTGATAGCAAATCAAAATATCTCTCCTTTCAGTAGGAATGTTTTGTATCCTCATAAACTCTTTCTGGAGACCACACTGTCCTATACATAATAAATGTTGAAATATAATGCACAATTTGAAATGCAGCCACCCCAGCTTGTAAACTGTATCAGGATCTTAGCAGATGGTCACCAGGGACCTTTCTTTTAGTTAATCCTTTTAGTCTTGCCAGAGTTTCTCTTTGAGACCACTCTTTTTCCCCCCTATTTGGTACCCAGGCTACACACTGTACTGTAGATCTATCAGTTAGGCAGATGTTTGTTGTGCACTTACGGTCTAGTTTAGGGTTTCCCCCTTTGGAAGAAATAGGTCAAGTGCAGGCACCAAGTAAGAATAGATCAGTTTCCAATTGGTTGGGAAGTTGAATGTGGAATGTAAAATCCAACAACATAAAAAATGATGCTTAGTTTATCCTGCTAACCCAGGGGCACCTTTAAGCTGCAGTGTGGTTCACTCATAACCTAAAGAAAAGGCTGGGAGGAGTCTGCTCTGTACCCTCCCAGTGCCAAGATCACCCTTTCTTCAATGCCCTCCTACCCTGAGGTTCCTCACATTCCTGTGGCACAGTACTTCAAAGTCACTGGCAGCTTTTCTTTACTCTTCCAAATTTGTTGGAACTCTTAGTGGAGAAGTATTTTGATTTATCTAATTCATACTCGTATGTGCATTCAGATAGTATCACACTCTTCTAGAGGCATGTGCATTGCTATAAGAAAATACTAACTGCTTATGAAGTCAGACAAGTGTAGATTTTTCATCATGTAGATTACACTGAAATCAAAGGATAAGGCCAAGGAAAGACCATTGTTCTGGGGCTGCAGGATCACTGTGGAGGCAGAGCAGCAGGTAGAGTTTGCTCTTTAGGGACGGCTACTCAAGCCAGTCATACTTTTTTTTTAATTACTTCTTTCCTTATCTTGTTTCTAAACTTGTAGGTTCAGAGAATGCCACGTGTTAACGTGGTGGTGGCAGTGTTAGAAGCTCCATCAGTGGAAATGAGGTTTAGAGAGAGCTAGAACATTGGCTGAGGTCATCAATGCCCAATTTTAGGTTTGAGTTATGTGTCAGCCAGACAGTAATAAATTTAGAGGCTGTCAAAATAAGGCATACACACTGACTTAGAAAAATAACAAGGTATCGCACCAAACAGAGAGCAGAACTCATGATATCATTTGGCGATTCAGGCCCCATGGCCTGGTCCCTGGCTTTGTACTCAGGTTTACAGTCTAGTCAGGAAAGTGGATCTGATGTAAATAATTACACCAAAAGCTAGATTATTATTACTTTCTCTGCCTTCCATTCTAGAAACACAAAGGACATCATGATGGGCCCAAGATCAGGTGGCTTTTTAGAGGGAGCCACATTCTAGCAAAGACCTAAAGATCAAGTCAGGGTCAGAAGAAGCATTAGGTGGGAGGTAGGGCCTGGGCACGGTCCCTCCACCTGGGTGAACCTTGTGTGTGGAAGCCTGTGAAGGAGGCCTTTGTGTGCTTTGAGGAACTGCGGGTGAAGCTTGAGGAGCAAGCTCTGTGAATGTGGGAGGGAGGCCAGAAATGAATCTGACCTGGACCCCAGTTGAGCACATCAAGAGTTCAGAACCCCAAAAGTATGGGATCTGACTTTAGGAATTTTAAGTTGGGGAGAGACAAATTGTGCTGTGTGGCCCTGAGTGAACATGCGATTGGGATGGGAAATCTCTTAGTGGGGGTGATTAGGATCTGAAGGCAGAGTAGAAGGGGCTGTGGTCATGCAGTGTCATTTAATATCTTTCTCATTATTGCTGACACTATGTATAAAATCCTATAATTAAAAACGTCATCTCATTTAAAGCTCAAGTCTTCTAAAAGTCAGACAGACAAAATCACAGCATTAATAATAATTGTAAGAGCCTTTTTCAAATAAAACCCCTTTTCCCATTCTCCATGGCTTTTCTCCCCCATCAGATGCCCAGGGCTCATATGTCAGTCTCTTAAGTCAGTACTTGATTTCTAGAAAGGCCTTACCCAGTATGACTCTCATGGACTTTATGATACAATTTTGAATCACTCTGTTACCTTTTCCTAGGAAACAAGGGATGATAAATATATATACATATGGTGTAAGTTTGAATCTTAAAATTTTTATTGTAGAAAAAGACAAATTGCCACCAGCCCACTCAGAATACTTTGAACACACTTATCCTGTCATCCTTGCCATTCTCTGAAGCAGTTGTGCACGTCTTCTTTCAGGAGTACCTTTGTGCGGCATGATGAAAATATGGTGGATGCTGCTGCCGAGCGGCATCCAGCTAAAAGGCAGGCTTGTGAAAACATCACAGTGCATCCTCATCCATATCACACACCGGATCTGGCACCGCATGGTTTCTGGCTCTTCCTCAACATCACAATGACCATGAAGCATAAATGCTTTGAATTGATTCAGGACGTAGAGGCAGCCACATTGGCCAACTAAAGACACTCAGGAATGAGGACTTAGAGAACTGCTTCAGAGAGCAGCAAGAACATAGGGGAAGTGTGTTCAAAGCAAGGGGAGTATCTTGAAGGAAATAACAGCACTGCATCTTTTGCTGTAGTAAATTTAAAAAATTTAAACACACAATAGTTTTTGGTTATAACTTGTGTAACACGTGATTGATTTAACGCCTGTTTCTTTACATGGTTAAAAGAATTCGTTGACTGTCACAACTGGAACATTCACAAGTGTGATTGATTCTGGGTGTAGCTCCATCAAGCCTCTGGTTTATATTTCTGGTTTTCTTTCAGCCTTGCGTTTGCCCTGTGTCATTGTTGTCTTGGGCAAACTCATCCCTTATGTTGTCAAACTGACTGCAGCAGTTCTAGGCCTCATACCCACAATCTCACAAGCTTGAGCTGAGAGTGTGGCTCTGCTTAGGGGGTCAGAAGTTCTGGATTTCTCTGTAAAGTGTGGATATCACCTCTGAACCTGATGAGGGTCACGAGTGCCTGATAACCCAAAACCTAGTCACCGAGAGCAGAGGGGATGGCATCCTACCGAAAGGCAGAGCGTATCTCTCGAGCCTTGGGTGGAATCATTCCTTCCCATATCACAGGGTGCTGGAAGCCAAGAATGAGTCTAGGAACCTACAGATGCTGGCAGAATAGAGGGATTCATAGTTTAAGCCTTTATGTCTGTTCACATAATGTTAAAGCAAATAGGTCTCAGCAAATAAATGGGGAAGATGTTGGTTTTAGGTTGGATGGTGGAGCCATTCGGAAGTCCCTGACACTTGTGATCCCCACCAGCCTCGCCCTTGCTACTCATTCATACAGTTCCTAGTATTACTTCCTTGCCATATTATTTTTCTCTTTGACACATTCTGTACCAAACGGAGTGTGTTTGAACCTGAGAGTTTTTGATAGCTAGATGCAGATCCTACTTGTTTAGGAAAATTATGCTTTATCTAGACCTACTCATTTAAATAAATTAAACAGTTCTTCATTGGACATACTAATTTTAGAAACTGAAGTTTAGCAGAAGGGGAAGAAGATGCAAATAAGTATAATTGGTTAATGAAAGGTTTGAGGATCTTTCACTCTCTATATAGCTTATCTAAATTAAAGAAAATGTAAACTTCAAATAAATGAATTTTTCAATTTTAAAAATACTAATAGTTTTATTTGTTTAAATAATGCAGGGCTGTATTTAGTTCTTCAGAAGTATTTCCGAATCAGGCAGAATACACATATTTAGAAATTGTAATCCTAGGTCCTTTCTTCTCAGTCAGCTATATTCATTAGTATGCACAGAAATATTAACATAAATATGAGCATATGCATCCTCATCAATCATGTGCAGGGTGCTTTCTAGTTGCTGAGGATACAGAAAAATAGAACACACATTTCCTTTACTCAGTGAACAACATATGATCTGTTAGGGAAGAAAAGCAAATACATGGGAAATAAATAGTAGTGAGTTTATTCACTGCCTAGTGCTGGCAGATGAGACAACAATAAGGGGCTTAGAACAGGCAACAGTTGCTGGGGTGAGGGAAGGGGTCTGCAGAGGACAGAAGAGGCCCAAGAAGGGAGCATCCTCGGTGGTCAAGCAAGTTTGCTTTTGCACTGCTATTTTATTCTATTTTCCTTAAAGTTGTTATTATTGTATGATGCTTAATTCACATAAGCATTCCTTTTTTGAGGGGGTAGGGTACTGGGGATTGAACTCACGAACTCACACTTGCCAGGCAGACGCTTATGCCGCTGAGCTAAATCCCCAGCCCCTGTTGCTTAATTCACCAAGAATTTTTATTGCATAATAGTTTCCACAAGACATTGACCATATAGATCATTTCTGATCATTTGTGTATTTTCCAAAATTTCTGTAGTGACTCCCTAGTATCCTTTCATAATTATTTTTATATTGATAGGACGATTAATATGATTCTAAACTTCTTTTATTATGTTAAAGAAAATAGTCCCAAAACTAATTAGAAAATAAATTGTGTCACCTGTTACATTCCTTAAGGAAAAAAGATTGGAGCTGTTTCTTATCTATAGTGACTAATGCTGTTCCATTACTCAGTCACTATTTTGTAGCGTGATTGGCCTGACACATTCAGACATGAGACTTTTTGAAAACTTAATCTATAATCTATGGGAGTTGGAAGACTTCTTGGCTGGCTTGATTTAACATCAGTTGTTGGACTGCTCTCAGTTTAATAAATTTAGAATTAAACCTAAAGTTTTTCATTTTGTGTTATTTCTTCCCTTTTAGTCATTTCCTGTCCTTTATTCTTCTTATTTTTCCACCATGTCTGTGAGCTCCCTCATTTGGATATAACTTCTTTTTGGACAGGAATCAGTGAGTCTCTGGAGCTTTAGATAGCACCTGGCACATGGAAGATGCTCAAAAAATGCTCAAAATGAATGAAAACATCTCACACATAAATGGAAAGAAATAACGCATAGGAGATTAGATCCAAGAATGTATGTATGATTTAATTTTCACATGTGGTTTTGCACAGTCTATATTATAGCAACTTCCTGCTAGTTTTTCCTAGCCAGGAGCTAACCTTAACGTGGAAGAGGTAAGATTTATATGCTTCACAAAGTACTCTTGAGCATTAGTTATTTTAGGATGAACCTGTTATCTGTGACACATTAACATGTTTGACTTATATACTAAGATTTTAAAAGATCTTTGAGTTCTTCTTCTGCATAATTAAGTTTTCAAAACAGTTTATGTATTGGAGATTCCATGTGTGTATTTCCATTAGTCAACACAACTAAAATTCAGTCATGATTACTAGCTTTTCAAAGCCTTCCTTCATTTCCCAACAGACAACTTCCTGTCAGAATTCGTTTCCCATTTGGAAAATATCACTCTGACCCATGGGTCTCTGGACACAATTCATTCTTCACATTTTTGAGTCTTCCCACTGTCATCAATCCTTAGCTCCTGAGTTGCCAAAAGATACACTCGTAGTGAGAAGATCTAGCTTAAGAATTAGAGGAGAGAAAACTAACATGAATGATTAAAGGATTCTGTTCCAGTGATTTTCTAATTAAAAAGAAACAACTACTTTCAGTGTCTGTTTCTATTATTACTATTTAAGAAATCAAGGTGATAGTTACAGTTTGAAATAAGACGTGGTTTCTATTTTCCTTCTATCTTTATATAATTACTTTGGCAGAGTTGCAGTGTAATTCAGTTCCGTTTAGCAAACATTTACAGACACCCTTCCACTGTAATGGCCCTACATTACTGGGGTCTCTACAAGAGAGAATATGATTCAGACAAATAAATCCGCTGTGGATGGGAATTGGGTTAGGAGAGCATCATTTGAGAAAGAGTATCATGTTGGATAATATTAGACTTGGCTTGTGAAAGGAAAAGTAATTCCAAGCAAAGGGACGCTGGGATGGATCCAGTGTGGCAGATACTGATTCTTGGTCAAGGGGCTGACATGACAAGGAAGGCCTTCATCAGGATTCAGGATGCAGAATGTACGTCCTAGAAAATGTACACACAGGAAGCCACAGTAACTGACCAAGGTCTGATGGATGACTTGTTTCTTAAGTAAAGGTGACGGCCATGTGAAGAGAAGGTCACATCTTAATACAGAAAGAATCAGGTGTGCTCTATAGCAGTGATGACAAACATTTTAGAGGTTTCAAGGATACAAACAGCCCACTGGGCACACATGCCATAGGTTTGCCACACTTTTCTGTAGGTATTGAATATTTGTAAATGTGAAGAGAACTTTCAGGGTTGGTTCCAAGGATGGGGAGACTTGACAAGTGAAGAGAAGCATGGTGCCATGTTGGGATAAATGAATGATTAGGAAGAGAAAGGTGACAGGCAGAGCCTCCAGATGTCAGTGATAGGAGGGAGACCAGGCAGGAAATGGTCAAAGGAGGAGAAACAGTGAGAACATTGCTTAAAGATGACACGGAGAACAGAGAACTCAAGGAATAAGAGGACTGAGTTTTGTCTTATATGAGAGAAAAACACAATGTTGACTTTTGAAGAATTTCAGAAGGGTAGCAGAAGTGGTCAGCACTTGGCAAAGACCCTAAGAAGGGCAAAGAGTTCGTTACTGGTGGGACTGTGACATGGGATCGTCACTCACTTCAAGTAATTTCCCTTTGAAGGAAATTTACTCCTCAGTTGACGAGTGTTAATGACAAAAATGCCAGTATGTCATTAATACCTGTAGATTTTAAATGTGCTTATTTTTATGTTGTAGCTCCAAAACACTATTTTTACAAACCATTTGGAAATAACGTTTTGATATTCTTTGATTCTACTCTTTTGAAATTTCACTTATCCCTTTCTGAGATTTATTTCTAGGTCATTGATTCAGATTTCAAAACTAGTGTTTTCTGTAAGCTTGTTTTATGCCTACTAGAGTTTCAATTCAAACATTTTCCAATAGTAGCAACTGAAATAGCTTCAAAAACATTTTTCGTTTTTCTCGTCTACCTTTTTCTGGGTTGATTATACCTTTCAAAAGGCCCAAATTGATGGTACCTGAGATAGTAGCTTATAGTAACCACGCAAGCTTTTTTAGAATTGATTGAGAAATATGTTTTAGCCTTATCCTGGTTTTTGAAGATATCTTTTAGTCCTAAAAGGAACTGATCAAGGAAAAAGTACATTAGGACCAGTTTAGAACCCTTCTTTATGCATGACTTTAGGGAAATCAATTTCTAGAGTTTCTCAGCTAAGAAGTCGGATGATATTACAGGCTCAATTAAGCTTCTTTCAAACTTAAAAAAGAAAAAAAAGTTCAGAATCCATGACTGTGCGGTTTGTTCTTTCATTTACTAATCAAGCCTACCAAACGATATGGTCCCAAGTTTAAATGTGATTAGGGTATTCCTCACGCATTCTTCTCTCTCTGTGTCTTAGTTACTCTCTTTGTTGCTGGGGCACAGTACCCCACACCCATGAGTTAAGTGAGGAGAGGTTTATTTTGGTTCACAGTTTATAGAAGTTACAGTCCATAGTAGCTAGCATAGTAGCTGCAGAGGGGCATTGCAGAGGAGAAACAGAGCATGATACAACAGCAGAAAGCAGAGAGGGAGATCAAGGGAGGAGGAGGGAGATGGATCCTTCCAGGCCATACAGCTAGGATGGACCTCCTTCAACCACGCTTCACCTCCCAAATCTCAGCCATAAACTCGTCAGTGACCTAATCTGCTGCTAAGTATCACATGCTCACAATCCAATGAATTGCCCAAAAGCACCCCAATGATCACATGAGGCTCTGAGGAGACATCTAGATGTAAAGCATTATATCATAACATATCACCATAACAGGTGCTCTTCCCTCTGCCTCTGACGGGACCTTCTCATTTCTCCCTTCTTTTGTCTGACTCTTACCCTTCTAGCTGCAGATCACTATTTTTTACGGGGGCACAGGATGGTTTCCTTGGTACCTAACACCTTCAGTACAGATCAAGTATAAAGTAAATATTTGATGATAGAGAGTATGGGTGGCATTGTATTATTGTTCCTTGTGGTGATTCCCCACACTGGCTAAGCATCAGAACCAATTATGAGTTATCAGTATAGAGTTCCAGAGCCTAACCCAACTTTAATATCTGAGCTTCTAAGAAAGGGCTTATGTATCCACATTTTAAAATATACCCACAGGTAATGCTCATGTGAAAAGTACTAGTTAGCCTTTCTGAGTTCCTTGGGGACACAAAATATAGTTTCTGTCACTTTATTTTCAGGCTCTAGGGTGATTTTTGACAGAAATTAGATATACATGAACTGTTTGTGAATAAATGAATCTAACTTTTGAGAAAAGTAATAAATAATAAATGAGAATAAAATGCCCTTTCTTCTGTTTGCAGATATAACACCTTGGACCTTTAAAAACTAATTCATGCTAACCACACAAAATTATATTTTTAAAGAAATAAAATAAATGATTTAAATGCCCAAACCACCAGTTCTGGTAAAATTTAGAACTTATTCTTTGTTATCTGATAATTATGGCTAGAATTTCTTTGCTTTTATGCCTAATTTTATAATTTTGAGAGAGGTTATTTGCTTTCATTATTACAACCTGGACATTGATTTTATTTTAAATTATTTCTGTAGAAGTCACAATTCATCACTCTTTTTTACTAGTATAATTCTAATATCTTAAAGAGCATTACTTTCCTTGAGGTAAGGAATGCAAAGTGGTAAAATAAAGTAGAAATAGTCTTAACTCTGTTGTCTCCTAACCCTACATTTGTGTATATTTCTGTGCTCCAGAGGAAGACATTAATGGATTTTTTTTTTTTTTTGAGACAGGGTCTTGAACTGCTGTGCAGTTCAGGCTGGCCTTGAGCTCACTTTTAGCCCAGGCTGGTCTCGAACTCCCAACGATCCTCCTGCCTCAGCCTCCCGAGTGCTGGGATTACAAATGTGAGCCACCACGCCCGGCTCATTAATTGAAAATTTAAAACTAAGAACATTATGCTCTCCAGAACACAAAAACCTCATCACTCATGCCCCACTGGCCTGTGTTTTCGTTGTCTATTGACGAGTGACAAATCACCATGATACGTAGCTGACTAAAGCAATAAGCACTTAGTATCTCACCTGCAGACAAGGTCAGGGACCTGTGAGTGGCTGCATCATTCTAGCCATATATTCTCTTAAGGTTACACTCAAGGCACTGGCCATTGAAGACTGGCCAGAACTGAAGGTCACTTCTGAGGTGGCTCCCTCAGGTGCCTAATGAGCTGGTGCCTGTGGTTTTTATACAAGTCCCTTTCATCAGGCCTTGGGTGTCTTCATTACATGACAGGTGGCTTCCCTCAGCGCAAGTGGTCTGGGAGCGAGTGGAGCCTGGGGAAGCCGCAGTGCTCACACTTGCAGCAATGGCTATTTGGCTCCCTGGTAAAGGGAGGAACATAGAGGACATATTGAAAAGCACCAAGCCTCTAACATAAAACACTGTTTGCTGCCTCAGATGTTTCGTCCAGTATCTGAGAGCATCTGTTAACTAATTCATTTGCTTAGTTCCTTATCCACCAAGAGAAGATAGATACCCACATTTCTGGCTTCTACTTCATTATTTCTATTGTCTCCTTTTTTAGCCTTTTGTATAAGATAACAAGGTACTGTGGTAAAAAATATGAAGTGTTAGAATCAAAAGATGTCATTTTCTGTCTGTGAGCCAGATGATAAACTTTTCCTGTCTAGACGGCAATTTAGAACTTATCGTCTCTGAGAAACGTCCTTAATGAAGCTTGTAAAAAAAATCTGAAGAAATCTGCCCAGTTTCCAGATGAGCCTGGGAATGCCAATTGCGTAGCTTTCAGATACTGTTACAAAAGCAGGTGTTGGGGACACTGAACTGTCAGAGGAGGAATCTTGTGATTAAGCTAGACCTTCTCCCAGAACAGAATGTGTGGCCATCAAGTATCTTCTTGTCAGGGTAAAATATGTACTATCAGGAAAACGAGAAAGAACGAATCATTAACAACTGTAAACTCAAGGGGGGGAGGCATGGTGTT